TGGCGGCACAACTGGTGAAGTTTGATGGGGTGGCGCAGCCGGTGAAGCTGGACGGGGGGTGATGGTAGCTTTAGTTTATTATGCCTCTTGTAAGCCAATTTTTTCAGAAGATGGGAACCACACCATCTGGCAAAAGATTCAGTGGCCGCCTCAGCTTGCGTGTCTGTCAAATCTCGCTGGCTAAGCCTTCCATCACCCGATCCAACTGATGATGTATGAGAGATGCCAGTGAGCATGATATGAGACTCAGTAAAGTTCTCATCACTAGTGCGGATAAGCATGCCTTCGACATTTGCTGCTCTACTGTCGTGAGCTTCGACAATTGCATTCGGGTGTGTGGTGTCATCATCAGCTGGCCCGATGCCTGTAGCGACATTCGCGATACCACTACCTGAAGCAACGAAAGGATCCTCAATGCGAAGATGCACAACTCGATAATCCATATCATCATCACCATCATCATGATCGTCGGAATTAGCATCAGAATCAACATCATCTCCATTGTGGTATTCGTCATCACTATCAGAATCATCAACAATATTCTTCCTAGGGCTTTCTGGCCGCCTGTTATGCGACGAGCGCGTGGTCCTTGCCGTAGTATGAGAAGCAGAAGAAATCACCTTCAATCCAGCGTCTAGCTGACGGGAGGCCTCTGAATGGCCCTCATCATCCAAAGAGGTGAATGATTGCACAAGATCACCAAATATGCCCGCCATGGCATACGTGAATCGACCATTTATCTGAGTAGATTTGGCAAGTTTCTGATCAATAGAAAAAATGCAAAAAAAGTGAAGATCACATTAAATGATAAGTGGATGAAAATATTCTGACGGTGCGACAAAAAAGTTACAGTAAATACACACATGTAAAACCACACAGTATGTAGAGTGTTCATAAGTTACCGCCCGAAATGCAACAGAAGTTATCAGGAGTTCAACAACAGCCACCGTGAACGTATCATGATTTAACAACATCAGCCGCCGTGAAAAATGAAAAATAGTATACGATGGCATAAGTAAACAACATTCTTAGATAACAAGAAAAAGTTAAGTTATTGAGGCTTTACAAAAATAATCGCCACAAGAATGCAACCAAGTTATCAAGCTATGTGAGAGCATATGATGACATGAAAAATAAAAAAACATGATGGAATGAGTTCCACATCACAAGTAATCAAGAAATTATAAGAATAATTATCACAAGATTGCAACAAAGTTATTATCCATTATGGAGCATATGCCACATTGGAAATAAAGAACAAAATCTGATGTCATTAGTAAAGAGCATAAAGTTGACAACAAAAGAAAGTTACCATACTGAGTGCGACAAAAGTTATCAGCCTATTAAAAAACATAGAATAGCATGAAAAAAACAGGTTACGTGAACACCTCCTGACTGGACTTTGAGGCAGCATGAACATAAATTTATCAAGAGCTTCCAGACCACCAAACAAAAATTCGTGCCAAACCCAGCTTCAACAGAAAAGAATGAAAAAATACAGTTGCAAGCAATGTGTGAACTAAAAACATAGATAACATAGATAAATTACCGGTAGTTTCCCAAAAGAAGTTTTGTCCGCCTGAACATCCTTGTTAAGGACAAGAGCGATAAGCTTCTTCATCCAGACATTGATAGGAAAAGGACCATCATGCAATACAATGCTGAGTCTAGAACGGCCAATCGCATGAATGTACAATAGCTGATAAAAAAGATACAATTGTGATGATAAACACGACAACATCATATCAAGATGACAAATGACAAAAAAGAAAGTAAAGGAAAGCAACATCACTTACATTGTAGAAGAGAAGGCAACCCTTGGTAGGCTTGCGAATGACAAAAAAACTATGAAAGTTACACACTGACATATAGTAAAGTTATCAGGCACAACAACAAACAACAATAACAACAACAAAGCCTTTAGTCCCAAACAAGTTGGGGTAGGCTAGAGGTGAAACCCATAAGATCTCGCAACCAACTCATGGCTCTGGCACATGGATAGCAAGCTTCCACGCACCCCTGTCCATAGCTAGCTCTTTGTCGATACTCCAATCCTTCAGGTCTCTCTTAACGGACTCCTGCCATGTCAAAATCGGTCGACCCCGCCCTCTCTTGACATTCTCCGCACGCTTTAGCCTTCCGCTATGCACTGGAGCTTCTGGAGGCCTGCACTGAATATGCCCAAACCATCTCAAACGATGTTGGACAAGCTTCTCCTCAATTGGTGCTACCCCAACTCTATCTCGTATATCATCATTCCGGACTCGATCCTTCCTCGTGTGGCCACACATCCATCTCAACATACGCATCTCCGCCACACCTAACTGTTGAACATGTCGCCTTTTAGTCGGCCAACACTCCGCGCCATACAACATTGCGGGTCGAACCTCCGTCCTGTAGAACTTGCCTTTTAGCTTTTGTGGCACTCTCTTGTCACAGAGAATGCCAGAAGCTTGGCGCCACTTCATCCATCCGGATTTGATTCGATGGTTCACATCTTCATCAATACCCCCATCCTCCTGCAACATTGACCCCAAATACCGAAAGGTGTCCTTCCGAGGTACCACCTGGCCATCAAGGCTAACCTCCTCCTCCTCACAGCTAGTAGTACTGAAACCGCACATCATGTACTCGGTTTTAGTTCTACTAAGCGTAAACCCTTTCGATTCCAAGGTTTGTCTCCATAACTCTAACTTCCTATTTACCCCCGTCCGACTATCGTCAACTAGCACCACATCATCCGCAAAGAGCATACACCATGGGATATCTCCTTGTATACCCCTTGTGACCTCATCCATCACCAATGCAAAAAGATAAGGGCTCAAAGCTGACCCCTGATGCAGTCCTATCTTAATCGGGAAGTCATCGGTGTCGACATCACTTGTTCGAACACTTGTCACAACATTATTGTACATGTCCTTGATGAGGGTAATGTACTTTGCTGGGACTTTGTGTTTCTCCAAGGCCCACCACATGACAATCCGCGGTATCTTATCATAGGCCTTCTCCAAGTCAATGAACACCATATGCAAGTCCTTCTTATGCTCCCTATATCTCTCCATAAGTTGTCGTACCAAGAAAATGGCTTCCATGGTCGACCTCCCAGGCATGAAACCAAACTGATTTTTGGTCACGCTTGTCATTCTTCTTAAGCGGTGCTCAATGACTCTCTCCCATAGCTTCATTGTATGGCTCATCAGCTTAATTCCACGGTAATTAGTACAACTCTGAACATCCCCCTTGTTCTTGAAGATTGGTACTAATATACTCCGTCTCCATTCTTCTGGCATCTTGTTTGCCCGAAAAATGAGGTTGAAAAGCTTGGTTAGCCATACTATCGCTATGTCCCCGAGACCTTTCCACACCTCAATGGGGATACAATCAGGGCCCATCGCCTTGCCTCCTTTCATCCTTTTTAAAGCCTTCTTCACCTCAGACTCCTGGATGCGCCGCACAAAACGCATGCTGGTCTCATCAAAGGAGTCATTCAGTTCAATGGTAGAACTCTCATTCTCCCCATTGAACAGCTTGTCGAATTACTCCCGCCATCTATGCTTAATCTCTTTGTCCTTCACCAAGAGTTGGCCTGCTCCGTCGTTGATGCATTTGACTTGGCCAATATCCCTCGTCTTCCTCTCCCGGATCTTAGCCATCTTATAGATGTCCCTTTCACCTTCCTTCGTGCCTAACCGTTGGTAGAGGTCCTCATATGCCCGACCCCTTGCTTCACCAACAGCTCGCTTTGCGGCCTTCTTCGCCATCTTGTACTTCTCTATGTTGTCTGCACTCCTATCCAGGTATAGGCGTCTGAAGCAATCTTTCTTCTCTTTAAGCGCCTTTGGGACATCATCATTCCACCACCAGGTATCCTTATCTTCGCTTCTCCTTCCCCTGGACACTCCAAACTCCTCCGAGGCCACCTTACGAATGCAAGTCGCCATCTTCATCCACACATTGTCCGCATCCCCTCCTTGATCCCAAGGTCCCTCCTTAAATACCCTCTCCTTGAACACCTGAGCTACCTCCCCCTTGAGCTTCCACCACTTCGTTCTAGCGACCTTGGCACGCTTATCCCGCTGGACACGAATCCGAAAGCGGAAGTCAGCAACCACTAGCTTATGCTGGGGTACAACACTCTCCCCAGGTATCACCTTACAGTCTAGGCACGCACGCCTATCTTCTCTTCTCGAGTGTTGGCCACTACTAAAAGTCACCAGATGTGATTCTCTCTTTCTAAAGAGGGTGTTAGCTACAATCATGTTGTAGGCTAGAGCAAAGCTTAAGACATCTTCTCCTTCTTGATTCTTGATGCCAAAGCCAAAGCCCCCATGCGCCCCTACAAAACCTGTGTTAGATGTACCCACGTGGCCATTGAGGTCTCCTCCTATGAAGAGCTTGTCACCAATCGGTACACTCCTAACCATGTCTTCCAAGCCTTCCCAGAACTCCCTCTTGGTGTTCTCATTGTGGCCTACTTGCGGGGCATATGCGCTGATAACATTGAGAACCAAGTCCTCAGCTACTAGCTTGACCAGGATAATCCGGTCCCCACGTCTCCTGACGTCTACCACTCCATACTTGAGGCTCTTGTTGATCAAGATGCCTACGCCATTTCTGTTTGCAGCCGTCCCCGTGTACCACAGCTTGAAGCCGGTATCCTCCACCTCCTTCGCCTTCTGTCCTCTCCATTTGGTTTCTTGGACGCAAAGGATATCAACACCTCTCCTCACTGCTGCATCAACTAGCTCCCGAAGCTTCCCTGTCAGTAAAGTTATCAGGCACACAAGAAAGAAAATGACAGAATTACATAACTACTTACCAGCACAGCATACCACCTAGGGCTGACTTTTTTGGAGGTGGTCGGGCCGATTGTTGTATTGCCAGCAAGCAAAAGCCACATATGCTTGAAAGTATTGTTAGCATTTACAGAACCCCTTGATTAGATCGACAAGATCAGTCATTTTAGGGGCATATCCGAGTTTCGCCAAACAACTCAAGCCCTAACTCAATATCAGCTTCGGTAGGAAGGTTGTAAGGAACATCATTCCCTCCACGTGGCACGACCATAACACGATGCACATATTCCTCATTAACCGGAAGCCTACCCTGCCCTGGTACGACACCTCACGAGAATGAGGATTGTACATGTCGGCAAGCCACACACTGAGACCGTTGAAGAGATGGTCGCACTTGATATTTCGAAGACTTGTGAAGTCCATCTCATAAATGGCTACCTTCCTCTCATCATTCATGTCTTTGCATGCAACAAGAAGCGAACTAGGTGAGGCTCTATTCCGAGGAGGAGGGCGCTTTGGCTTTTTCGAAGGAACCTCATCAATTCCATCACCATCTCCTTTGCGCTTCCTCGGCATTGTGTCCCTGTCACATAGTTCAGGTAAATTAATCAATGTGAACTGATAATTCAAGCACAAATATATTGGTAAACATGAAAAACAACACCATTTTTAGGATGTACAAAGCCAATTTTCCCCTGATAATCTTAACATTAACACATGACCATTAAAAGTCACAAAATGATCCTGAAAAAGCACACAAAACTACCAAACCACTGGTAAGCATTGAGCTGCAGGTAATTATAACACAGTGATAGTAGTAAGTACAGTAACATGATCATGGTAATTACTTGAACAACAACATCGGTGATACAAAAAAATGAAGGCACAAAGCGTAAAAATCATGGGCATGCTGTCCAAAAACACATACATAATTTTGGCAACCTAATATGCGTTTAGCTATTTGAATACCAATTGGTAATCAAAAGTGCGATTGACCCAACCCCTGTTAAGAAATTAAGAATCAAAAGCCCGTATCACTTGATAAAATCAACACTATGACCATGATTAAATATCGAAAACCAGAAGCACTGAAAATACAAAAAAGAAACACACATCTGACAACATATAACACATTGACCCTGTTAAAATAAAGCAATATGCACATGATAATTCAGCCAACATGCTGCTGGTAAGCGCAAATAATGTACTATATGATGAGTTATTACCCTAATAATTCTAGAGATGTCACATGGTAACACAGCCAACATGGTAACTCAAGTACAATAGTGCTGGTAGGTACAATAATTACCAACCAAGTGGAAATTTAGGCGCACAACAACACAAGTGATAAAAATAGCAGTGTTTCAACATCTGGTAATCTGAGGATAATGTCATTGGTAATTGCAGTACCATCACCATGACAACTAAATAGCACAGACGACACTGAAAATTCAAGCATTGCAGCGTGGTAATTAGAGCATCACAACCATAATAGATCGTATGAACGCAACAATGTAGCCTGGTAATTAGAGCATCACCATCCTAATAGATCATCAGAACGCATCAATAAAATCAGACATAGCAACATTTTGAGGGTTACTGTTTAAATTCACAGCCACTAATGCACAACCTAAAATCCACTAGCACTATTGTATGTCCTAAAAATCCACATCCACAAACATTGACAAGGAAAAATGGTGGGAAAATCCGTCATATTTCCGACCAACGGAGATCCGCCATGCAACCTATCCACCACCCAACAACCGACCAATTTCACACAGATTGAACCAAAAATCTGAGCCATCTCCAATTGAAACTAGAAGGCAACCTAAACTAACCTAATGGAAACAAAAAAAACCCGATGGATTCGGATGGGACGAGCACCAAAATCGACGGCGGAACGCACCAGCGGAGCAACAGGAAGAAAGTGGAGGTGGGGAATGCGTTCACTACAAGAAATATGTCATCTTGTGACCACCACTATTGGTCACTGAATGGTCATAGTTTTCCATTTGTGACCTTTTTGTGACCAAAACCAGAAGGTCAAAAGTTGACCGTCCTAAACTGACATTTTTGACCTTCTTTGTGAGAAGGTCGTAGACATTTACGACCAAAATATGCCTGCTGTTTTGTTTTGGTCACTAGCTGTCTGCCCAGGCCATGTCGGATCCGACGTGGCAAGCTAACGTGGAAAAATTGCAACCAATTCAAAAGGTCACTGACAAGATTCAGCCCGGTCCAATTAGGTGTTTTACATGGGCCAAGCCCAATAATTGAACCTATTTGTGTTTTTTCTGTCAATTTTTGGTTAGGTTCATGGGATAAGCCCTACATTCGGCCTTTTTATTTCCTGGGCCTAGTCCATTTCGCATTCTGTTTCATTCAGCCTTTTGTTTTTGTTTTTCATAAATGCACAATATTCCAGTCTACCATTGTTTGGGCCATAGCCTTTTTAGAGCCCAAATATTATTCGATCCAATAAACGAAAATTCAGCCTTTTTCATTCACAGATTTCAATTTTACACATTTCAACAGCAACAATCAATAATTCTCACAATTAAATGATCAAATCCAAAAATCACTCTATGAAACTCACAACATCACATCTGCACGATCCATCAAGTGTACATACAATCAGAAACAAATACAGAGGCACCAAAACATGGTGGCAACATCAACTAAAAGTATTATTTAGCAGCAGCCACCTCGATCACAGGAGCAGCCACCTCGATCACTTGCCTCGCGCTGGCGGAACTTGTTGGTCGTGTTCGCTGTTATAGTCAAGCAACAGCCTCTTGTACTCGAAGGCCTATAAAATAAAATGGATAAGTTAGATTGATTACTGTAGGTGCAGCACATTTTCTGGAAGAGGCATAAACATGAAATGAAATAGATGTAGTATCGTCACTACATGAAAGGAGCATTATACTTGGAAGGAAAAAACAACATCCTGTCACCAAGCAAACACTACTTGACAGGAAACACTGGTAGCAGGATAGCAGCAATGATTCACATGGCACGAATAATTCATTAGTTGCTAGGTATGAAACAAACTATTTACAGAGGTAAAATGGACACATGTACAATACATAGCTTGCTGTAAGCAGCAAACACTAGTTTATCATTACATAGTGTTTCCCAATTACCATGCTCACTAATGGAGATTGAGAGAGCTAAGTCAGACTCTCCAACCATGTACCCAGAAATAACCTATCTAGTGCACATGTACCCAGACTGAGGATCTGGCGCGGATCGAGCGGAGAGGACGGGGGAGCTCACCTCGCAGCGGAGCGTGTGGTCGAAGGAGCAGTGGGCAAGGTCGGGGGCAAGGCTGAAGGGGCCGAAGACGGAGGCTGGCCGTGGCTGGTCGAAGGAGCGTGTGATCTCCATCATTGCAGCTTCTGGGATAATAATAGACCAAATTAACTAGTTGAAGCTGGTAAACAGGAGAACAAGAGCATTAGATAAAGTTCCACCAATGTCCAAGCATCTTTTATTTATGATCAAATTAAGCTCCACAGAGATGTATAAATACAATATATATGAGACTATAAAGCATGCTTGAGACTGAGACCAGATATAGAAATGAATAGTAACACAGAAGACAGAAACTGTGCAAGATACTCTTGTCAAGTGTAACCTATGCCAGGTCTGAATTGCCATATATGTAGTAGTAATTAGAATGATTCAAATGGAACAGGTTGCTAGCAGAGAGTAAGAGCATGCCAACCTGGTCGACTTAGCCTAGTCGGAGAAATATTAGCTAGGACTAGCCCCTTGCAAGCATATTTGAATTAATGGCAGATTAGAAGTGACAGGTGCAATGCATACAGCTTAGGTATTGCCATTTTTTATCTCTCCGGCACATGCGCAAGAAAAACATCACGGAGGATTTATTTTGACCGACTTCCCTGTTAGTGGCAAACTTGCGGTGTCAGAGTCTCAGTGCTAAACTCTGAACATATCGAGGGCATGCCGACAGGTATTCTAGTGTACATGCATCAAAGGGAACAATAGAGCACATGTAAGGCAACACTGGAAACAAGCAATGGAGGTAGTATCTACATATATAATATAACTGGAATACAGCTTCATGCCCAAGAAAAATGGATGGGTCGGTCACTTGCCTTGACGATGTTCTCCATTCCTTTAGTGATGAAGTAGTTGAAGGAGTCATTGTGCTCCTTCACGAGACCTCTGGCCTATGAATTCAATTAGCCAGACATACACATGTGTCAAAGCAAAGGAATCGATGTGAATTGAGGCATAAATCAAATGACACACGTGTCAGACCAAACGAATTGAGGCATAGATCAGATGGCAGGCATTTATATGATGGCAGTACATAACGTGCAGCTTGGTTCACAAGCATAACTAACCACATGTCAGGATCCTTTCAATGGCATGCACCACACTAATTAAAATAGGATACTGATTTCAACTATTTGTAATTAGATACTGCCGATCACCTCTGCAACGTCCTAGCTTAGCGGTCAGAAGACCATACAGCGTTGCATGTAGCCGGCCGACACACACTGATTCATAGCAAATCAGATTGAACTTTCATAGAATGATTACACTAGCAACTAGTGAGCACTGAAGACTAATCTTAACCCACTGGTAGGAGTCTAACACTAGCAACTAGTGAGCACTGAAGAAACAGCAAGAAACAACACAATGAAATAGATCAACCTGATGGTGTGAGCGTAGTTCCATCCATCAGAAGTAGCAGGTTACACTAATCATGAAATATCAGTGGGGATCCGAACGATTTTCTTCATCACCCAGAATCATGCAGTTCAACCCAATAGAACACAATGAGCAATAAGGTTCATAACCAATGAAGGAATGCATGTATAGTCAGTCTAAAGCAGTAAAAATGTGCAAATGTACTTCAGGAGAGGAATAATTGATGATAACCCCCCCCCCCCAGTTCGTGTGCCTTTGATCATAAGCCCCCCTTTGTGTCACTGACATGTGGGGCCGGTCCCACATGTCAGTGACACAAAGGGGGGCTTATGATCAAAGGCACACGAACTGGGGGGGTTATCGGGTTATCATCAAATGCCCCCAGGAGAGGAATAATTGATGATAACCCCCCCAGTTCGTGTGCCTTTGATCATAAGCCCCCCTTTGTGTCACTGACATGTGGGGTCTGACAAAACAACAATTCGTACAAAGGCACAAGTTTTCAACTACACACTGGGAACTAGGAAGCTGAGGAACAGGAATCATTACCTTTCGCCTAGCTCCAAAAAAGCCATGGAGACCTGCCTAAAATTATCCATGAGCACTCTGTAGTAGTTTTCTCCACCTGAAGGCCAAAGTACATACATGGTTAGAAGAGCACAATTGAGTTGAGCACAAGGACAACTTGTTCTTAAAGAAAGAGAGAGAGAGATCGGATGCTTACATGAAAAGAGCCAGTCCAGGTTGTAGATGTGGCGGTAGAAGTCCCGAAGGATGGGCAGCTTGACCTTGTTAGGGATGGCGGTGTCGTCCTCTGCAGTTATACTAATCGCAGTGAGCAAAGAGTGGTTGCTACGAGTACAAAAAAGGAAGGCAGCGATGAACTTGACCCAAAAGATTCCATCAAATGCGGCAAAAGGAATTCAAACAAAACACAGTGAGAAGTAGCAGGGGTAATAAGGGTGCTGACCGACGATGTCCAGGGCCCGGAGCACGAGGTAGAAGATGCAGACCTGCAGGGTGAGAACCAGACCAACATCAGCGGTCGTAAATGTTCAGAGATTTCAGAGATTCGGATCGGAGGGGATCCGGAGAAGGGGGAAGCGGTGGGAAACCCATGCTTACGGCATTGCGGAGGTCTGTTCCGAGCTGCTGGACGACGAGCGCGAAGCTGCGGGAGACGCGCTGGAGCATGTGGTAGGCGAAGGCCCAGTGCTCTTGGGGCGGGATCTGGCGCCTGATCCGCCCCGCTGCCAGCTTGAGCCTGAGCAGCGCCGGCACCTCCTCCGGCCGCGACAGCAGCCCCATCGCCGCCGCACGAACCAAAATCACAAATCAAATCAAATCACCACAGCCGGACGGATCCTGCGGGCCGCCGGGGGTGGGGGCGGCGGCTGTGGACAAGCATGGTGGATCCGGGCGGGGCTGGGGACGGGTCCGGGGGAGGGGGAGGAGGATGAGGTGTGGCTATGGGGGAACGGAGAGATGGCCGGGAGAGCGGCGACGCGGAGCAGGATGGGATCTACACGAGGCCGTCTTCGGGGTTTGTGGCGTGGTGGAGGCGGCCGTGAGGAGGGAAGGAGGAGAGGGCGAGGGAGGGAGGCGCCGCCGCCGCGGACGAGAAGCTGTGGCGGCGTCAATCTGGATCGGATCGAGATCTGAGGGAGGGAGAGGGCGGCGGCTGTGGGTGCATAGGAGAGAGAGGGGGGCGAGAGGACGAGTGGTGCGGGTTGTGATAGGGCTAGTTAGGTGAGACGGTGGGGGGGTCAAGTCTGCCGTTAGATCCGGGACGACCGGACGGTTCAGATCGCCTATGGTAGGATGATCCGGGAGAGACGTCCTGATTGGTTTGAGACTACGGCTGTAATTTAAAATATAGCCTCTAAGTGCTAAAAACAAAGGGGTTTATGAAGCAACTACCAATAATATTTTGCAAAATGAAACTGATGAAGTCATATACCTAGGGTAGGGTTATGGACCTGTCCGAGGTACCCTCCCCAAGGACATCTTTAGCAGAAGCTGCCTTCCAGTCGACCTCGAAGGATTCCACTCGACGGACTCAAAGACACTCGACCATGAAGACTCACTCGACCACCAGAAGATCAAGAGCCACTCTGTATCCAAAATGGTCTGTAGTTAAGTAGCCTTTATGGTCATGATGACAATTTATGTAAGGCATTGCCAGTAACGCCTGGACTTAATGTACTTTAAACCCCGCATAACTGAGGGCCGGAGGGGTCTGGCAGACACTATATAAGCCACCCCCCCGCTCAGTGTAAAGGTCTGGAAATACCTTGTTCCTGATACACTTGGCGAAGCCTTAGCAGTAGCAACTTGTTTCCTAGGTGCCATGCATGAAAAAAAATTAACTAAATGTTACAAGGACAAACATTTGTTAGACTTGGTAGGTGTAAAATACCGGGGAAGCCTAACTGAGTTATCAATGTTCATCAAATAAGTTATTAGATAATATGGACTAAAATTACCAACATATTGTTCACGTTAACGTAAACCAAAGTATAGTTCAATGCACATGAGATAGTACACAAAAACAACAAAGAACTACTGAACATCAACAACAGTAAAAGGCATAAAAATAATGGGAATACATTTTTACTGGTGCACTAGGTGAATCCTTAGCCGCATCATCTCGTTTGCCAGGTGGCCTGCAAGGAAAAAAGGGTTAATAATAAAAGAAAGAAAGAAAGAAAGAGAGAGAGAGAGAGAGAGAGAGAGAGAGAGAAGGTGCTGGAAAATATGAGAAAGCTAATTATGAGGAGGTAACTGCCCAAACTACCATACAGAAACAACTGGATTTACCATGTAGTATCATGCACTACAAAACAAACTATGGAATAAACGAATTTACCCGCGTGGCGCCTGCTTCCGCTGGGTGGATGGTGGGACGGTGACACCAGCGCCTTTTTCAGCCACACGGATACCAAGCTCTTGGACAATAATTTTCTTCATAGATAAATGTGTGTTAGATGCTGACGGGGCATCTCATGATGATGACGTTTGCGGTGGGCTTGGTGGCATAACTGGTGAAGAAGGTCGTGGCGGCACAACTGGTGAAGTTTGATGGGGTGGCGCAGCCGGTGAAGCTGGACGGGGGGTGATGGTAGCTTTAGTTTATTATGCCTCTTGTAAGCCAATTTTTTCAGAAGATGGGAACCACACCATCTGGCAAAAGATTCAGTGGCCGCCTCAGCTTGCGTGTCTGTCAAATCTCACTGGCTAAGCCTTCCATCACCCGATCCAACTGATGATGTATGAGAGATGCCAGTGAGCATGATATGAGACTCTGTAAAGTTCTCATCACTAGTGCGGATAAGCATGCCTTCGACATTTGCTGCTCTACTGTCGTGAGCTTCGACAATTGCATTCGGGTGTGTGGTGTCATCATCAGCTGGCCCGATGCCTGTAGCGACATTCGCGATACCACTGCCTGAAGCAACGAAAGGATCCTCAATGCGAAGATGCACAACTCGATAATCCATATCATCATCACCATCATCATGATCGTCGGAATTAGCATCAGAATCAACATCATCTCCATTGTGGTATTTGTCATCACTATCAGAATCATCAACAATATTCTTCCTAGGGCTTTCTGGCCGCCTGTTATGCGACGAGCGCGTGGTCCCTGCCGTAGTATGAGAAGCAGAAGAAATCACCTTCAATCCAGCGTCTAGCTGACGGGAGGCCTCTGAATGGCCCTCATCATCCAAAGAGGTGAATGATTGCACAAGATCACCAAATATGCCCGCCATGGCATACGTGAATCGACCATTTATCTGAGTAGATTTGGCAAGTTTCTGATCAATAGAAAAAATGCAAAAAAAGTGAAGATCACATTAAATGATAAGTGGATGAAAATATTCTGACGGTGCGACAAAAAAGTTACAGTAAATACACACATGTAAAACCACACAGTATGTAGAGTGTTCATAAGTTACCGCCCGAAATGCAACAGAAGTTATCAGGAGTTCAACAACAGCCACCGTGAACGTATCATGATTTAACAACATCAGCCGCCGTGAAAAATGAAAAATAGTATACGATGGCATAAGTAAACAACATTCTTAGATAACAAGAAAAAGTTAAGTTATTGAGGCTTTACAAAAATAATCGCCACAAGAATGCAACCAAGTTATCAAGCTATGTGAGAGCATATGATGACATGAAAAATAAAAAAACATGATGGAATGAGTTCCACATCACAAGTAATCAAGAAATTATAAGAATAATTAACACAAGATTGCAACAAAGTTATTATCCATTATGGAGCATATGCCACATTGGAAATAAAGAACAAAATCTGATGTCATTAGTAAAGAGCATAAAGTTGACAACAAAAGAGAGTTACCATACTGAGTGCGACAAAAGTTATCAGCCTATTAAAAAACATAGAATAGCATGAAAAAAAACAGGTTACGTGAACACCTCCTGACTGGACTTTGAGGCAGCATGAACATAAATTTATCAAGAGCTTCCAGACCACCAAACAAAAATTCGTGCCAAACCCAGCTTCAACAGAAAAGAATGAAAAAATACAGTTGCAAGCAATGTGTGAACTAAAAACATAGATAATATAGATAAGTTACCGGTAGTTTCCCAAAAGAAGTTTTGTCCTCCTGAACATCCTTGTTAAGGACAAGAGTGATAAGCTTCTTCATCCAGACATTGATAGGAAAAGGACCATCATGCAATACAATGCTGAGTCTAGAACGGCCAATCGCATGAATGTACAATAGCTGATAAAAAAGATACAATTGTGATGATAAACACGACAACATCATATCAAGATGACAAATGACAAAAAAGAAAGTAAAGGAAAGCAACATCACTTACATTGTAGAAGAGAAGGCAACCCTTGGTAGGCTTGCGAATGACAAAAAAACTATGAAAGTTACACACTGACATATAGTAAAGTTATCAGGCACAACAACAAACAACAACAACAACAACAAAGCCTTTAGTCCCAAACAAGTTGGGGTAGGCTAGAGGTGAAACCCATAAGATCTCGCAACCAACTCATGGCTCTGGCACATGGATAGCAAGCTTCCACGCACCCCTGTCCATATCTAGCTCTTTGTCGATACTCCAATCCTTCAGGTCTCTCTTAACGGACTCCTGCCATGTCAAAATCGGTCGACCCCGCCCTCTCTTGACATTCTCCGCACGCTTTAGCCGTCCGCTATGCACTGGAGCTTCTGGAGGCCTGCACTGAATATGCCCAAACCATCTCAAACGATGTTGGACAAGCTTCTCCTCAATTGGTGCTACCCCAACTCTATCTCGTATATCATCATTCCGGACTCGATCCTTCCTCGTGTGGCCACACATCCATCTCAACATACGCATCTCCGCCACACCTAACTGTTGAACATGTCGCCTTTTAGTCGGCCAACACTCCGCGCAATACAACATTGCGGGTCGAACCTCCGTCCTGTAGAACTTGCCTTTTAGCTTTTGTGGCACTCTCTTGTCACAGAGAATGCCAGAAGCTTGGCGCCACTTCATCCATCCGGATTTGATTCGATGGTTCACATCTTCATCAATACCCCCATCCTCCTGCAACATTGACCCCAAATACCGAAAGGTGTCCTTCCGAGGTACCACCTGGCCATCAAGGCTAACCTCCTCCTCCTCACAGCTAGTAGTACTGAAACCGCACATCATGTACTCGGTTTTAGTTCTACTAAGCGTAAACCCTTTCGATTCCAAGGTTTGTCTCCATAACTCTAACTTCCTATTTACCCCCGTCCGACTATCGTCAACTAGCACCACATCATCCGCAAAGAGCATACACCATGGGATATCTCCTTGTATACCCCTTGTGACCTCATCCATCACCAATGCAAAAAGATAAGGGCTCAAAGCTGACCCCTGATGCAGTCCTATCTTAATCGGGAAGTCATCGGTGTCGACATCACTTGTTCGAACACTTGTCACAACATTATTGTACATGTCCTTGATGAGGGTAATGTACTTTGCTGGGACTTTGTGTTTCTCCAAGGCCCACCACATGACAATCCGCGGTATCTTATCATAGGCCTTCTCCAAGTCAATGAACACCATATGCAAGTCCTTCTTATGCTCCCTATATCTCTCCATAAGTTGTCGTACCAAGAAAATGGCTTCCATGGTCGACCTCCCAGGCATGAAACCAAACTGATTTTTGGTCACGCTTGTCATTCTTCTTAAGCGGTGCTCAATGACTCTCTCCCATAGCTTCATTGTATGGCTCATCAGCTTAATTCCACGGTAATTAGTACAACTCTGAACATCCCCCTTGTTCTTGA